TATGCAGCCTCGATGACGGTTCAATTTTTCATTTAAGAGGTGGTGGAGAAGGGTAGCCTGCAAGTTATTGTTCATATTTGCCTGGGGCATCACAGTTCTACAGCCGGCCGTGCCTACAGAATATTCTATCTGTGCCAGAAATGCCTGCCACCCACTGGAGTCTCCCTGTCCTTCTATTCCACTCCAAAGGTGACCCTTATTTCACTCTCTCTATGCCACTGTTTCTTCATCTCCATTTTAATCTTCCTAAGCTTATTTGTTCCACTGGAAATCCTGGGTAACCATCATCTCATTATCCTGTAATGCTTCTGGATCAGAATCTAACCAGAGGTTGGGGAAAACTGTTTTTAATTCTTTTTCATTTTAATTATTTCATTTTGTCAATGAATTACTTAATTGTTCTGTTGGATACATTACATTTTACTGAATTACTACTTGGTTAAAATATTTTTAATTAACAAAAAGGCCTCATAAATACACAAAAACCAATGAATGAACGAATCAAAGAATGAATAAATGATTAAATCAAAGAACGAAGGAATGAATAAATCAAAGAATGCATGAATCAAAGAATCAACAAATGAATGAATCAAAGAATGAATAAATCAAAGAATAAATGAATAAATCAAAGAATGAAGGAATGAATGAATCAAATAATGAATGAATCAAAGAATAATTGAAACAAAGAATGAATGAATGAATGAGTGAATGAATGAATCAAACAATGAACAAATGAATGAATCAAAGAATAATTTAATAAATAAATCAAAGAATGAATTAATAAATCAATCAAAGAATGAATGAATTAAAGAAAGATTGAATGAATGAATCAAAGAATAAATTAATGAATCAAAGAATGGCTTAATGAATAAATAAATGAGTCAAAGAATAAATAAATAAAATAATAAATAAATTAATAAATCAAAGAATGAACGAACAGATGAATCAAAGATTGAATTAATGAATGAATCAAAGAACGATCAAATTAATGAATGAATCAATCAAAGACTAAACCCAACAACCCAGGCTCATTCTGGAAACGTAGCCCTATATAGATTTCTGGAGAGCACCAAATACGTCCCAAGAGCTACGTTTTTTTGCGAATCCACCAGAGGCAGCTGTGTACGGTTTTTAAGATCTCAAATTTCTCTCGCGAGTGCCATTCGCACCTGCTGTACTAGTGTAAATCCACCAGAGGCTTCTGTTGACTGACTGACTGACTGACCAACTGACCAATAACCCCCACCTACCCACTTCCCTAAACCCAACCGACAGTGTTTTCAAAAGCAAATTCAAAAAAAGCCTAATTTACCATGTTTTCAGATTTTACCACATTCTCACACCATTATTTACTTTATTTTTTGGCTTTTGTTTTTGTCTTACCCGCTTTCTGGAACTGTTCTTCGCCTGACTCTAACCCCGTAGTCATGGTCAACTTCCCTATGTGTCTCAAGTCTGCCGACATATGCTGCATGCAACTGGACAAACTGGTAACAGCGGGATAGCCGTCCATACAGAGGTAAGCGGTCAGCTGGTAGTGCGAAAAGGAACGCCGTCATGCCGCCCCGTAGCATTTGTTTTAAAGACGAAATGCAGCCATATATCCCTCTGGCTACATAATTTGCGATCTCCAGAAATGTATATAGGGGGACGTTTTCAGAATGAATCTATGTTGTATTATTATTATTATTAATTATTCTTATTTACAATTAAATATTAAAATATCACAAATATAGGCTGATCTCACAAGGAATAATAACTATTTTACGTTTTGTCAGTTTAGTGGCTATATTGTACATGTTTTTTTTAAAAGGAGACATGGAACCAAACCACAGCCATCACTGAGGGATGAGCAACTCATTCTAAAGTGTACAAATGAGATGAATTCACATGACTTAGGCACAAAATCAAAAAAGTTAGGAATTGCCTTGAGATGAGTTGTATGAAAACTAAAAATGAAATGCCTCCACATATCCACGTTACAGACAGAAATGCTGTTCCTATAGAAAAGCTGCTACTACTAGTTGCTGCATTGAATGTCATTAAAGGAAAGCAGAAAGAAAGAGAGAAATCTGGGGTCTTGAGAGCAGTGTGACAGCGGCAGAGCTGGCAGCGGTTGCTATCAGCAGGGCCCTGCGGCACAGGAAGACACCCTACAGGCAGTGGTTTGAGCGCCATCCAATCCTTAGATCTCCACACTACTGAGAAACCATCATACAAGCTCAAACACACACACAAGCGCAAACTCACGTTTCACTGACCAGATGCTGCTGGGTCATTCTGTGATGCAAAAGGAGAAACATTTCTGATTTCATGTACATGTTTCCGTCATCGTTTCTAGGAGACTCGACTGCAGACGCCGTATAGTCTGACTTTCAAGAATTTCCACAAGGAAGTGCATTTCTGGAACTAAACTAGTGAGGCAAATCCTCTTAGAAATCCTTTTAAAGAGCGTAGCGAGCAGGAGAAAGGAGAAGTTTCTCTCCGGCAAACATGTGCAGGTTGTTTGGCTGCTGTAGTAGGAGAGGAAAGACAACATTCTCCCTGTCGGCTCTGTGCAGGAACGGGGATGAATACTAATGCAGCGCATGAAACTCTTGCACTTACACACAAATGAGAGCTGCTGCCCACATACAGTATACACATATACATTCACATACTTGAGGAAAAAAAAAACTAAAAAAGTTACAATGAACTGTACAGTCGCATATATTTGTGATTGATTTGTAAACTAGGAAAGGCAAAACTCCATTATTAAATGGTAAAGGGCCATGATTGGCACATGTGAATTAATTTGAGGAATATGTTAGAGGCAAGTCTCAAACTGGTGTGCATATCTGAAAACCATCGTTTGCCAACTAATGTCGCAAGTTCCATCGGTACAAACGTAGTTTGCTGATTTGGCATTTCCCAAATCCATCGATTTAATAAACATTCACAAACTGCGATGCAAACTTGTACGCTTGCAATTACACATATAGAGCTGTAGTCAGAAGCATGGTTCATGGTTCTATTCCCAGTTATTCACCATATGCCCTATTCATTTTAAACGTTCCAACATACACACACACACACACACACACACACACACACACACACACACACACACACACACACACACACACATATATATAGGGCTTAATCAATGCCGAACAAGCCGGATTCAGAACCTTTGAAATCAGATCCCTCACCTTCTTAATATTGACAATTGCGTTCCCTTCGTGGTACACTTTGAAATCATTTATGCATTTTATTTTGAACACAACCGTGGCTTATGATGGGCTATAGATTTAGAATAGACCCATTATTTAAAAGTGGAATTTATGCTATATAATTTATGTCTCCAAAGCTCCTGAAAACAAAATATAAAGCATAAATTAATGAATTAAAATTTTAATTTACAGTAGGCTATTTATTAAGAAATTTAAAAAATCCTACTTAACAATAATATTAATATTAATATTAATAATAATAATAATAATTATTATTATTATTATTTTTATTATTATTATTATTGTTAGTTTTTATTTATTTTTTATTATTGTTATTATTATTATTATTATTATTATTATTATTAAGTAGGATTGTTTTCATTTCCTAATAAATTGCCTATCTCAAATTACAACCATTAACGATTGACATTATTTCAATATTACGTGTTAGCTTTTTGTAAGTGGTTTTATGTTTAAAAACAGAATATTGATAATATTTGTAAAGGAAACAAAGGGCCTATATGTGCCGTTTACATATATTTCAATTAATATGGAAAATCAATGCGTAATATTGGACAAAAAAAAAAAAGCGTGTTAGTGTAAAACAATATAATTTTTACAAAAAAAAAAAATGTTTCTCTGTAAAAAAATGTGTTACTCCACCCCGTTTAGAGCATCATTATGGACATTTTAAGTTATAACTAACATGGTTCAAGCGATGGATCAGCGACAGAGCAATTACAGTTTTGGGAAACACTTATCACTACATTGTTCTTTTCCCAAACGACTGTGTACTATGACTAGCGTACTATGATAGTTCAGAATTCCATTGCAGTTTGGTAAACACACCCCTGAACAATTCTTCTGGCATGTAATATTATGCAACAACTTAAATAAAGCCATGGAACATATACATAGCTACAATCTTCATGTTAATCTGCATTTTGCCTTTCGGTTTAATTATGCTGTATTCAGTGTAATGACTACATTTCATGAATTAACAAATTAATTCATTCATTAGAACATCACATCAATCAAATAATCTTAATAAATGACTGACTGCTCTCTCTCTATGCTGATTAAATGTGGACTCCATCTGGACACACAAGAGCTTGAAAATACACTTTAGAGTTCTCTACGAAGAGGGAAAAAAACACCATTTCCCTAGTCTGATTGCTATTTACATATTTGACTAAATAACAAAAGAATGGGTCTGAGGATTGTTTGTCGATTTGCTCTGTGCTTTTTTCAATCTCCTTTGGGCAACAGATTGAATTAATGTTTATAGACACTGCCATGTCATACATGAGGAAACTAGAGATTGTGCAAAATAACAATACTTTCGCAATTTAGCTCTATAAACACATCCAAAGTGAAACGAGGAAGCGTTTGTTGCCGCATCGACTTTCTCTCTGGAGTCAGAGGTTCCCGAATGATAATTTGCCTCATTTACATCCTTTTTCCGTCTGAATAGATCTGTGAATAGATTCTGTTTACCTCTGCTTTCCTAAGTACACACGCATGTGTGTGTTTACACTAGATATGCCGTCCTGTCCTGCCCAAAGCAAATGTTAAAGCCTGTGTGCTAACATAAAATGCTTCCACCTTTTGCTCTGTCCTCTACCCCATAATCCATCTGCACTGCCCCATGCCTCCCCAAACATTATCTCCTCCCTCTTAATTAAGTCTTGGCTGGCTGTTCTGTATGCCCGTGTTCCCGCTGCTTTGGTTATTAAGGCCCGCCGTATGGAGCGGGTGGCCTGCCAGCAGCTGGACTGGAATACTCACCTGGGGCAAATGAGGGCATTTGATCCTACTGGGCCGGTGTCCCGCTCTCGCCTCAGGTGCCAGCCTGAAGTTGAAGAGTGCCTGCAGGGCGCACACAGCCGCCTGCCTCTTTGCCTGCTTCTTACTGCGACCCGAGCCCTCGAATATCCTGCCATCCACTCGAACTGCCATGATGAAGCTGCGGTGCGCCCGCTTGCCCTGGGCGTGCTCCGACAAGCAGGCGTATCGCAGGCCAGGCCGCAGGTCATTGAGCAGGACGACCGGGCTAGGCTGGGGCGGGGAAACTGGAGCTGGTGGAAGGCAGGGGTCTTCTTGCCTGGCCTGTACCACCATCAAGTCCAACGTGTGGCGCAATCGGAGAGCACTCGATAACAACTCGTTCTCAGCAGAACGGCAGCCGTCAGGCTCGAAGCCTTTGAAAAGAGTGTCCGGGAAGTCGGCCTGGTCTGAGGTGAAGTCGGCTGTAGGGTTGCTCAAGCCTCCCATGGCCAAATGAGCTTGCGAGGCATTGGGGAACTGGATGAATGATTTGAGAGCCATCTCGGCGGCTTTCATCTTAGCCTTCTTCTTTGTTGGACCAGTACCCTCGAATGTTAGTCCATTGACTTCTACTGCGATGGAAAAGAGTGGTGCGTGGACCGGTCCTGTTTGAGAGACCATTCGGTACTGTAGGCCTGGTCTCAGCTCGTTTAACTGGACCAGGGCATTCTTTGGTGCATCAGACCATGCAAGTTTCTTGCAGTACAGCCGCAATTTGCGCAAGTGTCCATTATTGTCCTCCTCCAAAGGCCGCTTTCTTTTGAGGCCAGATGCCCCATCCCTGGGTGAATCCGAGAAGAAAAGTGTCTGACAGTCTGATGTAACAATGGCACAATCCTCCAGATTTCCTGTGTTACGGTTCTCCTTGACCTCAGCACTGCTGGTGCCTATGTTGAAAGCAGAAATTTTGTATTATTAAAGAGGTAATTTTGCCGTCTTCTACTCTGTTCTGCCTATGATGAAAAGCCTGTAAGTTCATATACTAGTTAATAAACTCTCATTTCCATCCCGAAAGCAGCTGCTCTTAACAGTTTCCCTTACGACAAAGCCGGCCTTACTTAACTGTTGCAAAAATCTGAGGACAAATCCTCTAAAATGGGGCATTATCTAGCAAATCACTCTATAATCTCCCACAAAATTGGCTTGGAGTCCATCCTTAAAGTGGGTACAAATCGTCTCTCCCATATACAATGCAAAGGAGGCGCTGTTTTGTAATGCCGGAGAGCAGACGGTTATGAGATTTCAGAGTGTGAAAGTCTGATCACACATTAAAGCCTCTATTTCACACCCCAACTGTGTTGTGATGGAACCAAATGAAATTCATCTGTGAAAATAAACTTCAACACATGGATGCAAGCCTAAATTGTCAGTAAAAAAAAAAAAAAAAAAAGACTGAAATGTTCTTTAGTGCTGTCTGCTTTTAACTCTTAGTGGATATCGTAAATCCGCCATACACACACACACACATATATATATATATATATATATATATACAAAACTTCAACATTAGGATAGAAAAGGGTTTGCTGTATACTGACTCAGTGTGTCCTCATCTTCTGTTCCGTTGGCCACCGGGGTCATGTACTTGAAGGGGGCGATCAATGCAGACAACATGTTCATTTTTTCTAAAAGGAAAAAAATAAGAAAACAAAAGAAAGGTCATAACAAATCCAGCAAAAAGATTAAAAATGATGATAAAAAAGATGACGTTATGTGAACTGAAATATGGTTCAATGTAACAGGGTTTGGTAAATTGATAAGCCAAGGCTGTATTTTCCTCCGGATCCACTAGTGTGTTGTTAACACTGCAGGTTCTTATTAGCGACTCTCCTGGGCTCAACCCAGACTGTGGGGAACTGACAAAAGCTCCTGGACTAATAATTACTTCCCACCTTTTCCCAGCATCTCCTAATGATCAATAATGTTAATGGGCTGACAAGTAAAAATGAGCAGCAAGTGAAAAAAGAGGGACAGTAGGAACAAAGATGCGAAATAGAAGCCTGCTCACCATTTATTTCTGCTTCTGACTGCTTCAAACAGGCAATTTCTGATTAAAACATTTTGCATTTTGAACTAGTTTAGAGGACCTGAAGTCAAAATAGAACATCTGTCCAGGAATCAACAAGTGGCTTTCAAACTTGTTGAATATACTATGCTTTCTTCTTCTTCTTCTTCTTTTGTCTTAGTCCCGTATGGTTGCGGGGCCGGCTCTTTGGAACAAGTCCTCCATTTAGACATGTCCATATGATAACGACTTTTTTACACATTCCGGCCAGCCTGTCACCCTCATACACTCATACACAACGGACAATTTAGCCAACCCAATTCACCTGCAGCATGTCTTTGGATTGTGGGGGAAACCGGAGCACCCGGAGGAAACCCACGCAAACGCAGGGAGAACATGCAAACTCCTCACAAAAATGCCAACTGAGCCGAGGTTCGAACTAGCGACCTTCTTGCTGTGAGGCGACAGCACTATGAATATACTACGCTTTATTTAACTGAAAACCAAATTTCATGTAAACATTATTAAAGTGCACATGGCACCAAAACTAACCATATTGACTTTATCAGCTCGCATTGCTAATTTTGGGGTGAACAATTAATCTATGCATGTCTCTAAAGGGCACCTATGATGAGAATCATCTTTTGTAAGCTGTTTGGACATAACTGTGTGTAGCTATAGTGAGTTTACAGTCATACTGGACTGATAGAAACACAATAAGACTCTTTTTTTTAATTTCCTGACGTCAAAATAAAATTCAAATCCCTCCCATTTTGAGGCCCACCGCAACATGACGGTTTTCCCGCCCACCGAATTAACTGACAGACACGTGTTACCATGTATAATCATATCAACAAGACAGGCCATGTGCAAAGCAACCGGAATTATCTGCAGCTCAAGAATGAGTGTTACAAGTTTGAAATGTATTTAAAACAGTGCATGTTTATAATAAATATAGTAAAATCACTGTAATTCATCACCACAGCCACATAGTGTCAGTACAATTATGAAAGAAGATGCTTCAATCCCGGTTTGTGGACTTAAATCAGGTTTATTCTGTGCAGAAACCGTGCAAAGCTAAATGCGCACTATTCATAACGACATCATCGTTGCAGAAAGGCTTGAATTAACTCCACAACAAATATATCAAATAACCGTTGGGAAAGTTTTTACTGCAGTACAGGAGATCTGCTTTATTCTTGTCTGTCACTGTGCTGTTTATCTAAATGAAGGCTCCACGCACCGGTGCAATACAAATAGACACGCAATCTATTTGCTATCTATCACAATCTGTCATCTACATTGGCCGCAGTGTTTGTGTGTGAATATGTGTGTATGCGTGCGTAAAACATATTCTTTACATTATATGCTTATGCCCTATTGGCGGTTCATTCCTCTGTGGTGACACCGGATTAATAAAAGGACTAAGCCAAAAAGAAAATTAATTAATGAAAACAAATGAAATAGCTATTAAAAATCGGTACATGTCTGTGTATGTATATGCAGCACTTCTCATTTTGCCATTAGAGCAGTGTGCAGAGATCCTCTATGGATCCCCAACCATATCTAAGCCCCTGATGTTTGTAGAAACATGAAAGCGAGTGCTTTTGACCAAGGGTAGAGTGCAGAGTCACCTTGGGGCCTCAACCCTCGCTAGGCACCAACATAAAGAAACCTGGGGCTGAGTCATTTTGACACAGAGGCACCTTGGGGCCATAGACTTAGAAGAATACTATACAAACTTGGAGGTGGCTAATTTGATGTTAGTGTAAAGAAATATTGCCCCTGCCATATCTTGGCACCTGATTAATGTAGGCATAAGGGAGTGAGATCTCTTGCTCGAGGGTAGGGTTCAGAGGCTCCTTGGGGTCCCAAACCAAGCCAGGCGCCAGTGTTTTATTTATTTTAAAACTTGTGGGTGATGTTATTTCGACACGAGGGCAGTAGAAAGAAATTCAGAAACTAGCTCTTTTTATGAAGTGTAAGTACAGAGGCACAATATGATCCAAAGCTAAGATATCCTTTAAAGCAGGGGTCATCAAACTTGTTCCTGGAGGGCCGGTGTCCTGCAGATTTTAGCTCCAACCCTAATCAAACACACCTGATCAAGCATGGTAAACAGTGTGATTACAAAGCAATACAGATGTATATTCATGCAGGTATTTAATTAAGCACTGTAAAATAAGTATTTGCTTCAGTGTAAGTACATATTATTTAAGGCCACATAATATTAAGGGGGGCCGAAAGTGTTTGTGTATTTGCGTAATTATGCTGCTGTATAATCATTATATAATCAGTGTCATTAAATGATCTCAAAATGACAATAATATTGCTTCCTGCAACAATTTCTGTGACAATACTGTATCTGCACTTTTTTCATTACCATGTGGGAACAGCAATGCACCTAAACAGACCACTCGTGATCAGATTAACAATAATACCTGGTGAACACTGGGCTTCTATCATATTTATGCACCTCTTTTTTTTACTAGAGAAAATATATATATATATATATTTTTTTTTTAGGACACAGATCAGATGCAGTCGAATCTGGGATTGCCAGCCATAAGCAGACAATCTGAGAGACATGAAAAACACAAAAACAAACTCGCTTGTCAGTCCAGCCACAAACACATGTCGAAAAACCTACTTCATCATCTTGTGGCCAGGTTTTCAATCACATGCTTACAAAGATCTATTTGCACGCTTCGGAAATGGTTTGCTGTCTATTCCATATCATAGCAGAGAGTCAAAAACAATTCCAGCACTTACTGTAAGCGGAAGGAAGTGAAACCACTTAAATAAAAGAGAGTGCCATCACTGGGGGAAAAAAAACAAAGTTTTTGTTTGGTTTCTAGTCCAAATATCAAGAATCAAGAAATATTTTCAAATCAAGAAGCATTTATATATATATAAGCATATATCAACAGCAAAACACTTTTGTTGCATAGGTATTTGAATTATATACAGATATTAATACACACAAATATTAAAATTAATATAATAAATATCAAAATATAGAAAATAACATTCTCAAATACACTCAAAAGTTGTTTTTTAGTTATCTGCTTGTTCAAACTACTTTTTTAAAATGAGTTGAATCGACACAATCTTGATGTTTTGCTGGACAACTTAATTGTTGAATTGTTGAAGTTGAAGGAATTGTGTGAAACAAATAATAATCCTCTACTTTATATAGCGCCTTTAAATGAAGGATCTCAAGGCACTTTACAGACATAAAATGTGCAGCAGTAAAAGACAAGGAGGATTGCAAACAAAATGTAATAATAAAAAATAATTAAAAACGTAAAATAATAATAATAATAGACCTAAAGAATAATATATAAGTACAATAAAATTAAATAAAAGCTACCCTAAAAAGTTTTTGAGAAAGGTTCTTGGTTTTAAGAGCTGATTTAAAAATACTTGTATTTATATATAAATAACAAATATCCACAGTACACACACATATTTTACATAAGAACATACTTTTATTTTGGATGCAATTAATCACGCTTAAAATTTTTCCAGCACTAATTATTTATAAAAAAACAAAGACAATATTTGATATTTGTAAAGATCTTGATTCACAAATTTTTTAATTTTTGGACGAAAAACTAGACAAAAACATTTATTCATTCATTTTCCTTCGGCTTAGTCTCTATTTCAGAGATCGCCACAGTGGAATGAACCGCCAACTATTCCAGCATGTTTTATGCAGCAACCCAGTACTGGGAAACACCCATATACAATCATTCACACACACACACACTCATACACTATGGCCAATTTAGTTTATTCAATTCACCTATAGCGCATGTCTTTGGACTGAGGGGGAAACCGGAGCACTTGGAGAAAACCCACGCCAACACAGGGAGAACATGAAAACTACACTCAGAAATGCCAACTGGCCCAGCCAGGACTCGAACCAGCTACCTTCTTGCTGTGAGACGACAGTGCTTACCACTGAGCCACCATGCCACCCTAGACAAAAACACTTAAAGAAAGAAAACGGACAAAGTCAATATGGTAACAATAATGGCTGGGTTTACCCAAAAGTCATCACGTGAGAGTCTAAGGCACGTGTCGGACGCCCCCACCCGCCCCCTGATGACTGGCAATACCACAATCTAAAACAGCCTCACCTATCAGCCACCCATATGAAATCCCTCTTGCTTGACTGAAACGTGACCAAACCCTGGCAGCGGGGAATTTTGACAACTCGTAATGTGTTGAGTGTGATAAGGAGCAGGAATCCAATTATTTTGCTTTCCCAAGCAGTAGTGGTCAAGAGATTCTCTCTCTCTCTTCCTCCCATCAGAAGTGTGTGAGGATTTATAGGTCACATATAGCACAAACCCGAGTGCTGAATGTCAGCACAGCAGATACGCTAGCTGCATTGTACGTTTCCTGTGTGTCACTTCCTGAATGATGGCCGAGGAGCAGAGGGCATGAATAAGTGATGGGAGGTGCTATCGCTGTCATCAACCAATCACGAAAAGTGCTGAGACAGACACTCATACTGATGTTGAGGTCTCTCCAAGTTCAGCGGTATCTAACAAGCTCAGAGCCAATGAAGGTTACACGCTTGATGCGGCACCAAGGATCATCCGAGGCCTA